CCCAGTCTGTGGTTTGCTTTTTAATTTCTCTTGACAGTGTCTCTTGCAGAGCTGACATTTTTAATCTTTTTTTATGTAAAATCAATTGTGTTTATTTTTTTGCATTTTTTTTTAATTTTTTTATTGTTATGTTAATCACCATATATTACATCATTAGTTTTTGATGTAGTGTTCCATGATTCATTGTTTGTGGATAACACCCAGTGCTCCACGCAGAACGTGCCCTCTTTAATACCCATCACCAGGCTAACCCATCCCCCTATCCTCCTCCCCTCTAGAACCCTCAGTTTGTTTTTCAGAGTCCATCATCTCTCATGGGTCGTCTCCCCGTCCGACTTACTCCCCTTCATTCTTCCCCTCCTGCTATCTTCTTCTTTTTCTTTTTTCTTAACATATGTTGCATTATTTGTTTCAGAAGTACAGATCTGTGATTCAACAGTCTTGCACAATTCACACTGCTCACCATAGCACATACCCTCCCCAATGTCTATCACCCACCCCCCACCACTCCAGCAACCCTCCGTTTGTTTCCTGAGATTAAGAATTCCTCATATCAGTGAGGTCATATGATACATGTCTTTCTCTGATTGACTTATTTCACTCGAGCTGACATTTTTAATCTTAATGAAGTCCAGCTTCTTAATTCTTTCTTTTATGGATCCCGCCTTTGTTGTTGTATCTAAAAAGCCATCACCAACTCCAAGGTCATCTAGATTTCCTCCTATGTTATCTTCTAGGAGTTTTATAGTTTTGCATTTTACAGTTAAGTCTGTGATCCCTTTTGAGTTATTTTTGTGACAGCTATAAAATTTGTGTCTAGATGGATTTTTTTTTACATGTGGATGTCTAATTATTCCAGCACCATTTGTTGAAAAGACTTTTTCTCCATTGTACTGCCTTTTCTCCTTTGTCAAAAATCAAAAGACTGTATTTATGTGGATCTATTTCTGGGCTCTCTGTTCCCTTCCATTGATCTATTTGTCTATTCTTTCACCCATACCACACTGCCTTGATTACTGTAGCTTTATAGGAAGTCTTGATATCGGGTAATGTCAGTCCTCCAACTTTGACTTCTCCTTCAGTGTTGTTAGCTATTCCGAATCTTCGTATAAATTTTGGAATCTGTTTGCTGATACCCACCAAGTAACTTGCTGGATTTTGATTGGGATTTTATTGACTCTATGGGTCAGGTTGGGGAAAACTGACATCTTGACAATATTGAGTCTTCCTATTTGTGAATATGAAATAGTTCTCCATTTATTTAGTTCTTCTTTGATTTCTGTCATTAGGGTTTTGTAGTTTTCTTCATATGGACCTTGTACATATTTTGCTAGATTTATACCTAAATATTTTATTGTGGGGGCTACTGATGTAACTAGTATTGTATTTTTAATTTCAAGTTCCACTTGTTCATTCCTGGTGTCTAGGAAAGCATTTACTTTTTGGGGGGTTGGAGGGAGAGGTTGGGGGAAGGGCAGAGGGAAAGGGAGGGAATCTTAAGCAGGCTCCATGCCCAACCCCATGGGGGCTTCATCTCACAAACCTGAGATCATGACCTGAGCCAAAATCAAGAGTCCAACATTTAACCAACCGAGCCAGCCAGGTGTCCCAAAGCATTTGCCTTTAAAATATTAACCTTGTATCCTGAAACTTTGTTATAATCATTTATTAGTTCCAGGAAGTTTTTTTGTGTCAGTTCCTTCGGATTTTCTACAGACATCATGCCATCTGCAACACAGACCATTTTATGTCTTCCTTCCCAATCCGAATAAAGAATCATCTGCCCAATCTGTGTAAGAAAACCAAAGACCAGAGAAGTAATGGAAATTGCCTAAAATCAGAGCCTGGCGGAAGCAAGGTAGAGGGCTCTGGAAACAGGGCTCCAGACAGGCGGAGGCCCAATTGGGATGGTCTTTGAAAGGCCAAGGAATCTGGCAGTGGTGGATCTGGTGGATATGGATATCGCAGGCTTCTGGTGAGGACTTCAGGGAGATAGCACAGGGCAACCTGCCCGGGATCCCCAGCTTCCTCCCCGGGGGCCTCCTCCTCCACCACCACCCACCTCAAAGGGCCCACTCTGCACCCTCAAAGTCTCCCCAGCACCAGTTCTCGGGCACAACGGAACGTACTCCAGCCTCCTCCTGAAGGAGTAGCCTTGTGCGGGAACGGACCCTAGCATGGGGCTCCTGCCGAAGACCGGACACTCGGTTTGGCGACCCCCGCGAGGCGCCTCGGCGGGGCACTGAGGACCTTGCCGGTTCCTCGGAATCCGCACCCTCTAACCCCAGTTACTGAAGTCCCATTCACACTCGGGTGCGAGGACGCAGAAGCCCCTTCGAGCGGGGCGCCAACCCAGCGGACTGGGGATCCGCTCCAACGCAGCCAGAACTGCGCGCGCCCCGCGCCCGGGGCACACCAGGTGCAGGAGCGCAGCGCCCACCCTGTGCCACTGAGCCGAGGGAGGCGGGCTGGGGACCCCAGGCGGAGTCGAGCGCGGGGCGGGGCGCACCCCGCCGGGTCCGAGGCGCCGTGCTCAACAGCAGCCGCGGAGCGCCAACTCCAGCGGGAAGACAGAGACCGCGACGCGCGGGGGAAGCGCGCCCGAGCAAGGAAGAAAGCAGGACAGCCCGTACGCAGCGCCACGGCACGCGCAAGTCGGGGGGACCCCCAGGACCCAACCGAGCGGCCAGGGCAGCGGAGCGAGCCGGGAGGAGGCGCCCAGGCAGGTAAGGTGCTGAGGTCTGCGCAGTCCGGGTCCTCCCTTGGTGCGGTGGGGGGCGTCGCCCGGGCTGGCGGCGCTAACGCCCACTTCTCTCTCGAGGGGATTCCGGTGGCTTTGCCTCCCGCACCTTTCGGGAGGCACTCGGGCTGGCTCCAAGTGGAGGAGTTCGAGCCGGGAGAGTCCGCCACCCACCACGGGCCCGTCAGGACCCGGCGACGGGAAGCCGGGACTGGGGCGCGCGGGCGCGGGCGGAGGGGCGGAGGGAGCCGGGCCGGCGGGTGCTGGGCCGGCGGGCGAGCTCCAAACTGTAGGGGAGGGTATGGGCGGGGGGAGTCTTGTTGAAAGGTTAGATGAAAAGGGAAGCCTCTCCGGGAGAATTCCCGGCTCACCGGATCCTGCCCCTACCCCCAGTTTTCTTCTCGTCCGGAGGCCCCCCGCACGCTTCGCTTTTTGAGCCTGAATTTCTGACTCGATTCCCGCCCTTGCGGGGCGGCGCCGGCGGTGAGTAAGGGAGGGCAGGGGAGGGGAGACGACTCCCGGATCGGGTTGGTCTGGGGCAGGGAGTGCATCCCGCGAAAAATGGGGCCGGGACCTGCGCCACCCGGTCTCACGTCCTCTCCTCCAGGGTCTGGGGACTGGAGAGCGGCGCAGCGCGGAAGGCGAGAGCACGCGAGTCCTGCTTCCCGGTCTCCGGCTGAGCGCCGTCTGCGGGGATCGGGGCTTCGCGGGATAGGGAGAAGCCACCCGGACGGAGGACCTCATCTGTCGGAGGTCTTTCCCTCGGGTGCGCAGCGGGCGGACGCGCCGCAGGTCGGAGTGGCCCGGCCACCCTTCTTCTGCTGTCCCAGCCGCTACGGTTCCTGTCCCTCGCTCTCCGCCTCCTCTGACGGGGCCGGGCCAAACCCACTGTCCTCTTTGGTCCACTTCTTGCTACCAGCATCCCGTGGCCCCCACACTTGGGGTCGTTTCCAGTTGTGTTAAGCGGGGAGAGGCGAGTCACAGCTCCGTGGCTGGGGTCCTCATTCTGCGGGTTTGGGGATGCGGGGGGTTCTGAGGCCCTCTGACGCCTTGAATCCAATGGTGTCCCCTCAGTACTTCAGAGAATTTATTTTCCTTTGCCGTGGGCATCTTGAGGTACTGAGAACATAAAGGACTCAGGCAATGAGGGATAGTTCAGCCCTCACACCCTCCCGGGTCCTCACTGACACCACCTTACCCCCGCCCTACCCCCCCATTCCTGGGGGCTGTTTTCGGTTAAAATGGAGCGGCCACCACTTTCAGAGGATGGACACCTTGGTGACAGGATGTGGTGCCTCCCAGTTAGGGCTGGTTCTGGTGGGCAACCGGGTGGGGTCTGGTGAAGGGGACAGGGAGGTGATCAGAAGAGTGGGAGCAGGGAGGAGACACAGACAAAGCATTTCTTTTTAGATCTGGTTTCCAAAGCCCAGAGGAGTAGCAGCAGAATTCCGTCCCATCCACAGCCCCCTTCACCTACACAATCCTGGGCAGATCCTCATTCATTCATTCATCCCACAGACTCCTGTTCCGTCCCTACTACGAGCCAGGCCCTGGGCTAGGCAGCAGGAATTTGGTTTACAGGAAGATCGGGACTCAGACAATATAACTCACTGGCCCAAGATGACTCAGCCTGTTCATGTGAAAATGGGTTTGGTGATTTCCACGTCCAAGGTTTGGCCAGGACATAGGGAGCAGTGCCCTGCTTTGGAGGAAAGACCTGGCTGTGTCTCAGTCCTCTGGCTTCATTGTCCTTGACCAACAGATAGCGCAACTTTGTGAAGGCTGTGGAAGCCTGGGCCAGCGGCCTGGAGCAGGCTTGTGAAACTTTGAGAAGACCCTGCGGGAGTTGATGGTGGGGAAGGGGAACGTGACTGGGCAGGCACGCAGATCCTGGCCCCTGGGAAAAGGGCAAAGATGCAGGTTCTTCTTGGATGTCTTTGGAGAGTCCAATTCATCCTTTGCCCAGGACCGCCGGACGGCCCATGGAAGATTTCCCAATTTTCAGATCTTTTGTCTCCTTTCCCCTGTACCCCGGGGTAGTTCTGTCTGAGGGGAGTCACTGGGTCTGGTTGGCCTATACTTGGGGAACTCTGGGAGAATACTCCCAGGCGTCCTCCTGCAGAGTGCCCACTGATTGTGTCTCCTTCCAGGGTCCGGGATGGCGCACTGACTCTCCTCAGGGATGTGGGCAGGGTGCTGGGCTAGGTGAGTCGTGACAGCAGAAGGTCTGGACCCCCAACTCAGCCCGCTGAGACCCCCACACCACTCCACCTGCGGTCTTTGCCATGGCAGCCCAGAATGGAAACGCTAGTTTTGCACCCAACTTCAGTCCGGCTCAAGACCATACCTCCCCCGTCCCCTTCAACTTCAGCTACGGTGACTATGACCTCCCTCTGGACGAGGGTGAGGACATGACCAAGACCCGGACCTTCTTCGCTGCCAAGATCGTCATCGGTGTGGCACTGGCAGGCATCATGCTGGTCTGCGGCGTTGGCAACTTCGTCTTTATTGCTGCGCTCGCCCGCTATAAGAAGCTTCGCAACCTCACCAACCTGCTCATCGCCAACCTGGCCATCTCTGACTTCCTGGTGGCCATCATCTGCTGCCCCTTCGAGATGGACTACTACGTGGTGCGCCAGCTCTCCTGGGAGCACGGCCACGTGCTCTGTGCCTCTGTCAACTACCTGCGTACTGTCTCTCTCTATGTCTCCACCAATGCCCTGCTGGCCATCGCTATCGACAGGTGAGGATGATGTGGGCCAGGGCGGGGGGTGGATAAAGACGGGGGCCGGGCCAGGCTGTCCCTTCCCTCACTTCAGCTCTGACACGTTGGCGCTGCTGCAGATCTGCGTGCCACTCATCTCTCCGGGGCAAGAGGAGACCCGGTGTCTCCACTTGTGGCTCAGGTTCCCCCCCAGACATGGGCAAGAGCGAGACCCCTGAGCCCCCCAGCTCTGGGCCATGCCTGCAGATACCACATCTGCCGTGGATAGGCATGCCACCTGACCGCGAGGAGCCCCAAACACAAAAGCCAAAAGCAGAAAGATTGGGCAGCTTATTACTTAGAAGCCACGGCAGACTTCACCAGGGCAACTTCCGGTCAAGAGAACATGTCCCAAGTTTTTCCTGCCACCATTCCCCAAATCAAGATCTAGAACGTTTCCCACTCCCTTATGCCTTGTACCAGTCAGTCCTCCCACCCGACCCGTCTGATTTCACTCAGCACAATTTAGTGTTGCCTGTTTTTTAACTTCATAAAAACGGAATCCTACAGTAATGTACCCTTGTTCCTGGTGGCTTTGTTGTAGAGCTGATTTTAAAATAAGGTAAGGGCCTATTTGTAGAAAAGAGAGAAGGACATCCTTCCCTTTGTTTTCTTGCATACATCCATGTGCTCATTTGCATACATTTGCATGAGATGTTCTAGAAGTCCTTGCTCTATTATAAATTTACAAAATTTATAAAATTTCTAGTAGCAGCTTATGACAAATCTTACACATTTTAATTATGTAAACAGCTATAAGCCAGTGTCAGACCACCAGTGGCTCTGTTCCAGGGGGGCAGTTGGTGAAACATCCTCTGGGTCCACGGAATGCTGAAACTCATTTTGATGTTGTGTCTTTTAAAATATCTTTCTTCTTTTTGGTCTCCTTTGAACTCATCAGTTTTTTCCTTGTTCTTGGTGCTATTTAGGTTTGTCGTTCTTTTTAATCAGCCAGTTGATTATTTTCCATAATGAAATACACACAGAGGTAGAAGAATCATCATCTTTTTGTAACATAATTCCAGCAGGAAAAACCATTTTGTTATTACAGCTCTGAGGCTCTCCAGCCCTAACACCAGTGTTTATAAAATGCAACTGTCAACCAACTGTACAGAATTGCCCAGGGCAAATGATACAAAGTCAGATCCCTCAGCCCCACCCCAGCCCTACTGAATAAGAATCCCTTGAGCTCAGTCCCAGGAATCTGCATTTTTATTCAATTCCCTGAGGGATTCTGAAGCTCACGCAGGGGAGAGTTATCACTGTTCTCATTCCCCTTTGTCGCACTGAAACCTTTGTCTTTATCATGCTGGGGAGTTTTGGGCAACATAGGAGTTTCTTAGGAAGCAACCGTCCAGTTACAACACAAAGAATGGTTCCTTTTTCACCCGGAACCAGCTTCCCGGCTCCAGTCCACCAAGTCACCCAGGCTGAAAACATTACCATCATTCTTTTTTTTTTAAGTTTTTATTTGAATTCCAGTTAGTTAACATACAGTGTAATAGTAGTTTCAGGTGTACAATATAATGATTCAACAGTTCCATACAACACCTGGTGCTCATCATGACAAGTGCATGCCCTAATCCCCATCACCTGTTTCTCCCATCCCCCCAGCCTCCTCCCCTCCGGTAACCACCGGTCTGTTCGTTGTTAAGACTCTGTTTCTTGGTTTGATTCTTTTTTCCCCCTTTGCTCATTTGTTTCTTAAATTCCATGTGTGAGTGAAATCATATGGTATTTGTCTTTCTCTGATGGACTTATTTCGCTTAGTATAATTCCCTCTAGCTCCATCCATGTCATTGCAAATGGCAAGATTTCATTCTTTTTTTATAGCTGAGTAATATTCCAGTGTGTGTGTGTGTGTGTGTGCACATATATATATATATACACACACACACACTCACACACCACATCTTCTTTATCCATTCATCAATTGATGGACACTTGGGCTGTTTCCATCATTTGGCTATTGTGAATAATGCTGCTCTAAATATAGGGGTGTGTTTATCCCTTCGAATTAGTGTTTATGTATTCTTTGGGTAAATACCCAGTAGTGGGATTGCTGGATCATAGGGTAGTTCTCTTTTTAACTTTTTGAGGAGTCTCCATACTGTTTTTCACAGTGGCAGAACCAGTGTACATTTTCACCAACGGTGCATAAAGGTTCCTTTTTCTCCACATCTTCACCAACACCTGTTGTTTCTTGTGTTTTTGATTTTAGCCATTCTGTCAGGTGTGAGATGATATCTCATTGTGATTTTGCTTTGCATTTCCCTGATGATAAGTGACGTTGAGCATCTTTTCATGTGTCTGTTGGCCATCTGTATGTCTTCTTTGGAGATATGTCTGCTCATGTCTTCTGCCCATTTTTTTTTTTAACAGAAAAACAAAAATTGATTTATTTTACTTTTAAATTCCACACCACAACATTTTACTGAAAATGAAGTGATTTTTAATCTATAAATAAAAGACTCTCTAAATGATACTCAGGATGTTTTACAAGTTTGGTTTTAAGATAGATTTGAATTCACAACAGGTCTTACACACAACAATTTCAATCAATTGGGCACTCCGGAACACAGTGTAGAGGCATAACAAGTGTGTGACGACTTCTTAAGAGTCCCAGGGGATAAAGACCTTTTTCAAATATGGAAAGAAATTAGTCTTTCTACAGTATTAACCCCTAAAAGCTATTCTCCTTTATAGACAACTATATTATTGTCAGTTTCATACACTTTTACTTTATAAAGAACTCCCAGAGGAAGAAATTTCTGGAGGTTTTCCCAGATATATACAGCTACATTTTCTGTCGTGCTTACAACATCTGCAAAGTATGGCACATCCAGATCCAAATTCATATGATCAAGGGGCTTCATAATTGCCTCCTCCATATACTCTTTGAGGTCAGTCAAATTCATAACCATTCCTGTAACAGGATCAATCTCTCCATGCACCGTCACCACAACTTTATAATTGTGCCCATGGCCATTTAGATTGTTGCATTTCCCAAACAGTTTCAAGTTTTCTTCATTACTCAGAGATTTGCTGTGGAGTCTGTGGGTCGCGCTGAAGGAGACGAGGCGGGACACCCGCGCCCGGTGGCGACAGCCCTCGCCGGCTCCCGCCACGCTCATGGCCGAGCCTCCTCATTCGGCTGGCGCCGGGGCTGGAAGCCTTCTGCCCATTTTTTAATTGGATTATTTGTTGTTTCGGTGTTGAGTTTGATAAGTTCTTTATATGATTTGGATACTAACCCTTTATTGGATATGTCATTTGCAAATATCTTCTCCCATTCCAAAGGATGCCTTTTAGTTTTGTTGATTGTTTCCTTTGCTGTGCAAAAGCTTTTTATTTTGATGTAGTCCCAATAGTTTATTTTTGCTTTTGTTTCCCTTGCCTCAGGAGACCTATCTAGAAAAATGTTGCTGTGGCCGACGTCAGAGAGATTACTGCCTGTGCTCTCTTCTAGGACTTTTTATGGTTTCAGGTCTCACACTTAGGTCTTTAATCCATTTTAAATTTATTTTTGTGTATGGTGTAAGAAAGTGGTCTGGTTTCATTCTTTTGCATGTAGCTGACCACTGGAGCGCGGGAAGCAGAGCCTGAGATGCGAAGGGGAGGGCTGTTCTGGAAATGCTGTGCAGCTAGTCAAGAGGACTCTGGAAGCAGAACTAATTCAGGACTCTCTCTCTCTCTCTCTTTCTCTCTTTCCTTCTGCCCCCCTCCTCCAATATAATTCCAGCATGAAGAGTATCTCGATAACCAATGCCAAAGAGAATTTCTACATTCCTACCTCTATTCGGATCAACTCTTAAATTCTAATATTTTCTCATCCCATAACATCTTCCTCATTATAAAAGATATCCCAAAATGCAGAGTTGACATCAAATAAATGAGAAAAGAAAGAACATTGGCCTAGGAGTTACTCAGAACATCTAGGTTCCCAGCTGTACACTTGGATAAATCCCTTATGCTCCTGGGACTTAAGTGTCTTCATCTGTGAAATGGGCATAATAATAACTTTGCTGACAACCTCTCCAGCTTCTTGTCAGGTTCAGAGAAGGTAGACAGACATAAAGTATGTTGGAGGCTATAGGTCTTTGTTAAAACTGATCGTTTTCCATGACTTGTCCATTGGCAAGAGGGACATCTGCAAGGTCTTTGTTACCATCTCTCTGCTTGGACGTGTGTGTCCCGAGATCCACACTCTCCTAGGGTCTCTATGAAACCAGGTCCTCTGCACATGAACCTCGCTCTTCTTCTGACTATGGCATCCAGAAATGCTAGTAGATAGCCCTTCTGATAACTCTACATAGTAGGACAGGCATGTTTTACCAAGGAGTAAACTGAAGTGCCCAGGGAGGCCTGTGTCTCTCCCACTCACCTGTGTCGGGGTTTGTAGGTTTATCTAATTGAGTGTGAAGTGGTCCCTATGCTCAATATTCAATACCAGTGTCATCACAACGGAAGTGAGAGTTTGGCCATCCATCTTTCTTGTCATTTTGACTTATTTTTCAATTGGTTTAGAAACCTGAGTGCTATTTATTAAGCTCTTGTGTTGTAAAGTCTGAAATTTCATGTGCTGTTTTGACATCTTTGAACACCACAGGGCCCCCAAGGTCCCTAGCCATGAGGTCCTCTGTTCTCGGCAGATACACCGCTCCACCCAGCAGGAAAGTCTCCTGGCCTGTTATTCCTGTCTCTGCTGGACCAGCTGCACCCCTAATCCTCAATCTGATGGGTTTCCCCTCCCCACCAGCTGGGAAAATTATTCAAACAAGCCAATCACATCCTCCCATGGGAGTCAAGGGTCACTTCATCCTCTTGTCACCATAAAGCCTGCTTCCTACAGCCCCTGCTGGTTCATTCTATCCCTGAGTGCAACTCCCACATGTTCCTGCATAGTGGGCACTGTCCCTCCCCCTGGGCTGTGAGTATATGTGACTAGTTAACTGCTGTTGGTCTCATCTGCCCAGTGTCAGGTCTTGTGTGTTCACTCATCGCGTACTATTTAGGTCAGGAGAGTCCCGCCTTCATCAACAGGGTGAATAGGAGGTGGCCAGAATCTCAATATCTTTGTGAAGCATTCCCAGACTACATCACTGACATAATGACTGTGTCTTCCTTCAAGTTCTTAACCTATCACTTGATTATTCTAGTTTTTGGGTAGAAGAGAAGCTCTCTGAGGTCAAGGACTGTGTCTTCTACTTTGTTTCCATATACGTAGGTTGGGCACACAGCAGGACCAGCAACCTATTGTGCATTTACCAGATTGTAGCAGATGCAATTGATGCCCCTCTCATATCTCCCCTTGTTACTATCACTTCAGTGCACATCTGTCCACTGCCACTTGCCAACACCTGCTTTTCTTTGTCTGAAGGCCTTCTCTGGCTCCCTCACCAATGACTTTGATGGTTGGTGTATCAATATCCCGACTCCTTCCCACTCCTGGGTGAACCACATCTGCTCCAGGGGTTCTTCAGCAGGAATAAGCATCAGCTGCCTACAGTGAAGCCTTGCTCAATAACACAGCCTGTATTGACTGCCTTCCCCTGCCTACCCCTGCCTACCCCTGCCTACCCCTGCCTACCCCACAAAGGGCTCCAACCTCTTTCCCCGGCACTGTTGCTCACTGGAAAGAGCAGGATAAAGCCTCATGCTGTGTTACGGCTTTATGATGTCAAGGCAGCTTCACACACCTCATCTGAGCTTGAGACAGCCCAGGGAGGTGGGTGTAAAAGCTTTGTATCAGGAGCCTGCTTTCTGGTCCCTGCACTCAGTGGGATTGGTCACGTCATTTACTTCTCTCATTAGATAGATTCCTTAGATTCCACACCAAGCCCAACCCCTGTTCTCCTTCCTGCTCTGTAATACAGGATGACACCTGGAGGGGTGGAGAAAGAGAAAGCCCTAATCCATTGCCCTGAGAAGCTCTCTCTGAGCTCCAGAGCCCTTCTTTCCCCTCTGACCCATGAGATATTTGGAATGAAGAGTTTTGAAAGGATTAGGTTCTTGGGCAGAATGACAAGATGGAAAGCCAAGGTGGTATCCACAGGACTAACAGTAATAATGCCATGTATATTCATTGAACACCTACTGCATGTGAAGCATTTTACAGACATTATCATATTGAATACTTACAGCAGCCCCTCAAGGTAGGTGTCACTTTATCCCATATTGCATTTGAAGAAACAAATCTCAGAAAGGCTGAGTGATTGACTCCAGAGCCCAAAGCCAATCAGGGGGGCAAAGCTGGGATCTGTTGCTCCTGTTTGACCAAAGCCTGTGCAGTTTCCACTAAATACAGACTACTCCAGATGGCAAATGATGTTGCTAAAATAATATGAAGGCTGTTGAAGCTGGATAATTACACGGACTCGTTGTGCCACTCTGTCTGCTTTTGCAGCGTGTTTGGGCTTAGTTCCAGGAATGTTTCCCAACACACCTCATTATTACTGATGGCTCTCCTCCCCACCCCACCCCCGCCCAGATATCTCGCCATCGTTCACCCCTTGAAACCACGGATGAACTATCAAACAGCCTCCTTCCTGATCGCTTTGGTCTGGGTGGTGTCCATCCTCATCGCCATCCCGTCGGCCTACTTCACCACGGAGACGGTCCTGTTCATCGTCAAAAGCCAGGAGAAGATCTTCTGTGGCCAGATCTGGCCGGTGGACCAGCAGCTCTACTACAAGTCCTACTTCCTGTTCATCTTCGGCGTGGAGTTCGTGGGCCCCGTGGTGACCATGACCCTGTGCTATGCCAGGGTCTCCCGCGAGCTCTGGTTCAAGGCGGTGCCGGGCTTCCAGACTGAGCAGATCCGGAAGAGGCTGCGCTGCCGCAGGAAGACAGTGCTGGTGCTCATGTGCATCCTCACAGCCTACGTGCTGTGCTGGGCGCCCTTCTACGGCTTCACCATTGTGCGCGACTTCTTCCCCGCCGTATTCGTCAAGGAGAAGCACTACCTCACGGCCTTCTACGTAGTTGAATGCATCGCCATGAGCAATAGCATGATCAACACCGTGTGCTTCGTCACGGTCAAGAACAACACCATGAAGTACTTCAAGAGGATGATGTGGCTCCACTGGCGGCCTGCACACCACGGGAGCAAGTCCAGTGCCGACCTGGACCTCAAAACCAGCGGCATGCCGGCCACGGAAGAGGTGGACTGTATCAGGCTGAAATAACCCGCTGGCGTCCAGAAAGCCTGGAAGCCGAAACTCTGCACATACTCCACCAGTAGCCAAGTTCACACTGGGTTGCCCGGGGAAGGACAGCTGTGTTCCATGCCTCACGGCCCTCAAGGGGCAGGAGGCTGCTCGGTCCTGACATGCGGTGAGACTCGAGACAGGTAACAGCAACTGAGATTGACCGAACAGCTACTGTGTGCTGACCGCACCAAGGAGATCTGACAAGGCCCCCATTACCTACTGTGGGCCAAAATTAAATAACAAGACAAAATGGCAGAAGTTGTTGGAATCACCAAGCTAGGGCCAGTCAGGGGCCTCAGATGGTTATCTGCACTCACTCTCCATCTCCCTACCTGCATTCTGCATCTCATCAGGGCAGGAACATCAAAAGTCTATAGAATACACCACTTAACCATGACCAAACGTAAGGATGAGTTCATCAGAGTGTGGGGTTTATAGCCTCGTGGGAAGAGGGTTCATGCCATCCCATTGAACTTTCCCACTCCATTCGTACTACCTCCCTAAAGATATTCTCTAGGATTCTGACTGCGAGAAAAACAATTTTCTCATAACCAGGACATTGGTTAGCTACAATGGTGTAATTTCAAAGGAAAGGACCAAAAAACTCTCTTTTCCACTGACGCTTGCAAGCTCATCATGCTTTTGGGTGAAGACATGCAGTCCTGAAATGAGGAACACACCCAGTCCCTGATACCTTAGTGTAAAGGGTTTCTGGGCTTTTAAGGTCTGGGAGGAAGGAGACAGAGAAAGGGGTGGAGCTTGTCACTGGCGATGAACACAATCTATGTGGCGAAGGTCTAAGTCACTTTCTAGGACAAATCTCTTTTGAGAACAAACGAAATGAGCTCTACTTGGAAAGGAAAGGCCTGGGTTTTCAAGCCTTAATTCTAAGATTTATGGGACTGGCTGCTTATTCTCTCTGCTTCTTGGTTTTGCTTCAGCCAAACAAGGATGATGAAAACACTTGTGCTGTCTCCCTTACAGGACTCTTGGGAGAGCCCACGGGGGCCATAGTTGGTGAAAGTGCTTTTTAACTCTACCAGTGATAAGAATGAAGAAGTGATATTGAACAGTTTGGATAAGGGAAACCCCATCCACTGTAACTTAATGTGAACAAACATTCCCAATTTTTCCTTCCTGTTTTTCGGACCAGAGACCCCAGAACTCTTCACAGTGCGGCCTATCCTCCTGGGGCAAAAAAAGGAACCCCTGTCCTGGGTTAAAATGTGGAAGATTTAACCTCAGAATTTCAGTGACATCCGCCCCTCCCCGCCAACCTCCTCAGAAGTGTTGACGATCTTCCCTGCATGTTGTTAAGCAGCACAGCCCCAGACTGCATATGTTTGTATTATTTTACATCTGTGGTGATTGTGTATATGTCTTCAGTTCTTCCTTGGTCCTTTTGAAGCAGAGACTACAAATGGCCCGTGGTTTGGGATTGACCCATCCGCATTGGGATAACTCCTACTTTTCTCTAGAGAAAGGGTCATTGGGTTGTTTGCTTGTTTCTTAATGGTTTGTTTACCCAACAGTGAAGCTTCAACCAACATTTTCTTCTGTCACCACCCAGCACACTCACCTTCAGCCCAATCACTGTACCTCAGAAAATGCAAACTGACTTTAATATTAGCTTAAACCAAATGGATTGTAAATTCTGTGTTTACAAAAATTACATAATGCATTTTAAAGCCAATCAACTAAGTATTTGGGGTTATCTGCTTTTCTTACAGATATAACTGTGCTTTCATTTATTACCCCCATCCTGACTCTTCTCCTAATCAAAAGATTCTTTTAAGAGTAGACTGGGCACCAATTGTGTCTGGCAAAAGAATTCAGACCCTTTTTCCTTTTTATCCTAAAATGTACCATCCTCCTTTAATTTAAATTTAACTGAAACAGCTTTTGTAAATATCAGTGCGTATTTGTGATTTTCCAGTGAATAAGTGTTATGTTGCTATCCAATTAAATAATCAACATATGGAATCTTAACCACAGTGTTCAAATGTTTTCCCCACTAATCTTTTATATATGTTCATATATTTCAATATAAACAGTTAATATGTTTAGATATAAACCTAAACAGTTCAACCCTGAAACAGAGAAGAAACTTGTTGAAGGCTCTTTAGAACAGTGGCAGCTTATGCCAGCATCCAGCCTCCCGTTGGTTACATGCATGCAAAAACTACTCGGTGCCTGTGTTACCCCTTCGTTTTCAAGTTGTCTTGTTTGTGTAATGCATACTGCTGTTTGCATGGAGATTGTCCATTCACCTAACTGGTGTTAAAGTAATAAATAATAAATTAATTGCATTTGTATTTATTCTTCTCAAGACTAATTGATGATAAGCTTAAGATACTTTTAATGAGCTCAGCTATGTCAACATTTATACATACTATCATATATTGAAAATTTAAACCAGGTCCATTTCTTTGGCCAGAAAAAGAGAAAAGATGGCTTTGTGATGAAGCTAATAGAGGTTTTTCTTTCAGCATCCAATATCCAAATAAGTTGATTCTCAACCTAAAGAAATCAAAAGATGGCTTTGAGGTCTCAGGCACAAAAACCAATTCTAGACTTATGAGGGAGAATGTGACATGTGGGAGGTGATTAGAAAACTTAAAAGAGTTCTATTTCTAGGGGGAAATGATGGCTTTGAAATGCATCTCTTCAGTTTAACCATTATTCTCCCTTGGGCTCAAGAAGACACACACACACACACACACACACACACACAAGCCGGAAATGACCTTTTAAGGGTATATGATTCAACTTACTCCTTGCTTAGGTAAGGAGATCTAAATTCCAAATGAAGAAAAGACTTGCTTAAGGACACACAGTGAACACTCGTTGGACCCAAAATATTGCCCCAAGGTCTAACTCTGGTCCAGAGAACTGACTGCACTCTGTCACTGTATGCAGAGCCCAAAGGAGATGACCTTCTCTAAGAATGTTTAAAGGGCCATTTAAACTGGTTTCTGACCTCCTGGGAGAATCTTAAATTGCTCAAAAGATACCTTCCCTCCCTCTAGCAAGGAAAGAGTGCATCCCATCCATGTGACTTCATAATCCAGACTCCAGGATTCCAGAGAAACCAAAGAGAATTACACCACCGCCCCTCTAGTGCTCCTGTGTTTCTTTTCCCTACAAGAGAGGGAGGTCTGAACACATTGATTTGAAGGTACATGGAGCTATTTGGAAATGATGCTAGAGCATGAAGGAAAGCTGATCGTGATGAGAGGTGACCCTGACCCAGATAGTGGGAGAACGGGTTCATATTCAAAGACAAAGCAAGTCTAGGGCCCCCAAGACAGAGCGTGCAATCTTCACCTAAGTCACTACTAGCTGGCCCTGAGCAGGGGTCATTCTTCATGCTTCCCAAGAACCAAATGCCTTCTGGTCACCAGGTCGGCCTCCCTCCTGAGGTATGCCAGCCAGGCACACATTACCTCCTGGACTTGCTTGCACCACCTATTCCTGTACAGATGTTCAAAGAGCTCCAAACATGGGACAGTTTCTCCAAGAGAGAAACTGGTATGAGAACAAATGTGTTTGGCACTTTCTTCAGATAGAACACTGGTGGCAGGCAAGGGATTCACTGGAACTTAGAATAAGTAATCACTGGACAGGGCAATAGGCAGGAGGTTGGCCTCCAAGAAGCAGGAAGGTCAGTTCTTGGGACAGAAGGCCACGTAGACACAGGGTCCTTGCATCCTTTTACTGACTTTTCCTTTTTTTTTTTTTTTCCTATTACTGACTCTTATACTGAATTTCCACAGATGAGTCACAGGCTGATATGAAAGAGGTCATTCCCAGAATCTTGTTTAATCTTGCTAATCATGTTAATCCCAGCTCTGGATCCAACACAGTTCTTTGGCTGAACTCTGCTTTAGGGATGGTCCGCTCTGTGCAGACAAGGGTCTTCCATCCACTCATCCGTGTCTTGTGCTGACTGCTGGCGAGGAACAACGGTGATGGAGATGCAAGCCTGAATCCTGAGATAACTCTTGAAATAACATATGGCTAGGGGTGGCTCAGTCGTTAAGCATCTGCCTTTGGCTCAGGTCATGATCCCAGCGTCCTGGGATCGAGCCCCACATCAGGCTCCCTGCTCGGCAAGGAGCCTGCTTCTCCCTCTGCCCCTCCCCCTGCTCATGCGCTCTCTCTCTCTTTCTCTCTCTCCTAAATAAATAAAATCTTTTTTTTTAAAAAAAAGATTTTATTTATTTATTTGACAGAGACACAAGAGAGGGAACACAAGCAGGGGGAGTGGGAGAGGGAGTAGCCGGCTTCCCGCCGAGCAGGGAGCCGGATGTGGGGACTCGATCCCAGGACCCTGGGATCATGACCTGAGCTGAAGGCAGACACTTAACAACTGAGCCACCCAGGTGCCCCCAAATAAATAAAATCTTAAAAAAAAAAAAAAGAGGGGCGCCTGGGTGGCTCAGTTGGTTAAGCGACTGCCTTCGGCTCAGGTCATGATCCTGGAGTCCCGGGATCGAGTCCCACATCGGGCTCCCTGCTCAGCAGGGAGTCTGCTTCTCCTTCTGACCCTCTTCCCTCTCGTGCTCTCTCTCATTCTCTCTCTCTCAAATAAATAAATAAAATCTTTAAAAAAAAAAAAAGAAATAACATGTGGCTAATTCTGTGTTGAAATGGAGACACTGTAAGCAAAAATGAAATTCAGAAGACAATTTCCCTTCAGCCATGGGGATCAGAGAAGGTTTGGGGTGGTGGGGTAGTTAGGCAGAGCCCTGGTTGGGGGAGGGCATCCCAAGCAAACGGGCCATGATGAACAACAATGTAGAAGAGGGGAAATGCGATGGGATACACATGGAATGATGAATTGTTTGGTTGGCACAAAGAATGCCGAGTGTTTAAAGGGAGAACAGACTTGGGCAGCAGGCTGAGGAGCAGGATGAAGAAACAGGCCAGGGGATAGGGATGGCCTGAAAGAGCCTGGGATACACAATCATACAGAATCAGCTTCA